GAGAAAGTTGAACGAATTCATATCGCAGGCGAAAGGGAGACCAAACACAGATTGGATTTATATAGAGATTCAGCAAATTACCAAAAAACGGTTAAGTGCTGACCTCTCATTAGCCGGCACAAATTCATCTCCGTCATATTCTCTTAGTCAGAATCGTGTTTAATTCAAGAATCCCGCATGTACACTAATGCTCAAGGCCTATTTAGCAAACCTACTGAGCTGCGATCTCATCAAGTATACAGGGCGTGTGGCCTGATCTCTATAACGGAGACATGATTAGGCCTCGGCAAAAGTGATATTGAGATCGCACTATCAGACATGTACGTTGTTCGGTAGGATCGGCCCAGCATAGGGGTGGGGGGCTCTGTTCTACCGCAGTAAATTCCAAAGTGATCCCATACAGGAACTGGTTTATATAGTGCAGTAAGCTTAAAAGGTGACGTCGCCTGCTTCGTGGCAGTTGTTTACCACCCTCCCTCCAAGTTCTAGACGGACTTCCTTCTGGAAATTGCACCAGGGCAGGTAGTAAAACAAAGTACAGTTACATTCTCTTTACTCGCGATTTCCAGCACCAGTCGCTGGAATCCCAAGCTGCTTCTGGAGAACAGGTTGAGACTACTCTACAATAGGTTGTCTCCAGTTTCCCGCTGTATGGCCCCACCAACCATATTACCAGATTATGAGCGACAGATAAGCTTTCTATACTAGATCGGATCTTTGCTAACGAATAACTGATGATCAAGAGTGTAATGATCGATGTCCCCCGGGCCGCAGTGATCATGTATCCTATTCTTCGACTTTATCTGTTTTTCAGCATATCCAGTGGAAATTACCGATGGATGATTATACGATACGATACATTAGCTAGACTAGGTGAAACAATCAACTACACCTTTCTGCAGCCGCTGCACCGGCTAGTGCACGGCAACATTTCATCTGCCGGTTTAACACTCTGGTTTCCGAAGCATCAGCGACTAAGGCTGTCCACAGGAGAAACTTAGTCTCGTTGGTGCGAAGCAGGATACACAAGTGTATAGCGGTGCGTAACCCAGCCTGGTAAATCCACACAATCTTCCCCGAATACAGAAGCCTGGATGGTCTATGAGGGCCCAAGTTGACCACTGTAATCAGCTTGTTCGAGAGGATAGTATAGCGTACCAGCAGCAGTTGGCAATGCGTACAGCCTCAAACCGCAACCTTCTGTAACAACACGTACAAAGTCTACATAAGGTGATACGGGGAATTCCTCCTATTCAAACAACGGATGGACACAAACAGACCCCGAAGGAGGCGGCGAATCCTCTGCGTCCGCAATATGCTGCAAAATTTCAGTCCGATCACTGACCTCCTAACTCTATGACAGGGGTTGTCACACCTCTAAAACTTACTCGTGTAGTCTTCATGACAGAGCTGAACCAAACATTCTGTTGAATATGTGTAAGCACGGCTTTCCAGGAGTTAACAATATACATCCCAGGTCGCTAGCGTCGTTAGAAGAACGACTAATTTAGCCTGTTTGGTTTTGACGAAATGCACGTGCCTGATATGTGGAAACGTGGGTTGTTTATGCCACAACCCAAGGAAGTTAGTCGTTTCCATTAAACCAACTACCGTCTACAAATCTCACAGTAGGTACTTTCTAAAGTTATGCAAGCAGTACTGTAGCATTGGCGAGGGGGGTTCGCCCCGGTAGACATATTTTGTGCCGTTGATTGTTCGACACCAAATATAAAGGGCAAAATACCGGATAAGCTGAGGGTTGAAGATTTCAATGTCTTTCTGTATGACCAACAACACATTTGCGCCATGTGCCACAGTTGTGCAAACGTTCTTCCCAACAATCCCCTTGCATGCCACATTGTGGTCACTTTTATTATATTTCCTTCGGTGCCCCAAACTATCAAACATTTCATCGAATGCTAAAGTGCGCTCTACCCTGGGCCCATTGTGTGATCTTCACACGGCTATTCTGCTCTCAGTCAGGACGAAAACTATACCATTGCTCCGGGCGGAAACAATAGTTGCTACGCCACTGCATGGAATCTACTGTTTCTGATGCACTAACGACCTACATGGAAGCATTTAACAAGCTTGTACCGAAACATCATAACCTCTGACGAAATCGATCGTGCACTACAAATGTACTACCAGTAAAACCCAGTTAGACCGAAGCAGTAGACGCTGACACATCTGCTGATGTAGTTGTTATCTACTTTTCAAAGCCCTTCGACCGGTTAGACCGTGACATTCTGCTCTTCAAAATCCAGACCTTTTGTGTTGGTGAGCCTCTCCTAAGGCGGATCAGATGATTTATCGTACACCAGTGCTTGGAGGTATGAGTGTGTGAATCGCTGTCAGATCCAATCCCAGTTGAATGCAAAGTACCACAGGGATCGGTAGTAGGACCAGTTATTTTTGGTGTATAACTAGTATCTAACAAGCCTCGTAAACTTGAACTGCCTGATTAATGCTGGTGATATCAAAGTGTCGAGGACGATCAGTACACCAGAGGATATCACAGTAATTCAAGCCGAACTGCATTGGGTCTACGCATTCTCAATCCGGACTTTACTTACTTTCATTACGGACAAATGTAGTGTTGCACTTAGGAAACCAGGTGGTGTGTTCCTATAAACGAGGCCACCAGGTGCTTCAAATGTCTTCTGGCGAAAGGGATCTAGGCCTATTGTTTCAGGCCAACTTTGGATGTACGAATCAGGCTGAAATGGTGGCAAGTACGGTTATAAAACACGTCGACCTCCTGAGGCGTGCATTCAGATGATATGACCTGTCCATCTTTCAACAGTTTTCGGCTCATACATACGTCCACATGTGGAATGCGCAATAAACATCCGGCAGCCATTGCTAGGAGAGATCTCATGGCCTTGAAGATACCCCAACGCCGGAAAACCAAGAATGTCAAAGCTTTGGATTATTTGCCATATGAAGGAAGACTGCGATTGCTCGGGGTCTTCAGCAGACAATTTCAGCGATTACATGGTGAACACATTTTGACTTTCCAGGATTTGCGAAGCCCCAACCATACATACTACCATTTGCTACAGATCAACCACAACAGTAATTTGAGAGGCCGCCATCTCAAGTTGGCAGAGCAGCACAGTCACCTGGAATGCCATCGGCATTGCTTTTCCGTAAGCGTTTGCAAAGCGTGGAATGCCCTACCGAAACCTGTCATCCATGCTTCACACTGGTAGAGTCCAAAGCCAAAGTTGACGGTGCACTCATTTCGCTGTACCAAGATGCCTAAACACAAGGGTCTGTTAGAGATTTCACTGCCGGTTAACTCCTAGAATACGTTCCACCTTTTAAACATCCAGTATGTGTTCACTAGGAGACAGCACAATGTTTAATAACGCTCCGTTTGTCATCATTCCCAATGCACTTACAGAGGATGTACATTTTATACGACGAATATCCCAGTGAGTGCTCCGGTGTAAACCTAATTTTACTGCCAATTTTCTATATTCTGAATTTTCACCATCCTAATGGACCTGTTAAGCTTTAGCTTTTTTGTCCATCTAAAGCCATTTTCCATTGATAGCTTTGTCTACCTGGGCAGCTCTGTGTCTGCTTGTGGTACTATCGAGAAGGAAGTTTCCCTTCGCATCGCTGAAGCTTGATAGGCGTTCGTCAACCCGAAATACTTGTGACGTCTGGATGACACCACTCTTTTGGTAAAGGATGGTTGTTAAAATGCCACCGATCGAGCGGTGTTGCTATATGGAAACGAGTCCTAACCAGATCGCCTGGACTGTGTACACCGGCTGTCGGTCTTCGACAATGGGTGCTTGAAGAGGATTGCTCGTGTGTGATGGCAACGACGTATTTGCTACGGTAAAGTCCGATATCGTGTCTTGGAGAATGCTAGTATTCCCCTCAACAAAATGCTCTTGCTGTGTCATTTAAGATGGCTCCGTCTCGTCCTGCGTGTATCAGTTGAGCGATTAGCCCATTGCGCTCTTTCCGTTCTTGCAGGAGTTTGATGGAAGCGACCACGTGGTGGTTAGCTGTCCACCTGGCAACAGCATGTGAACTCTCTGGATTCACGTTCATCTACCGTTTGACGCACTCGCCTGCATCTTTGGGAACCAAAGGACAAGGAATGCCGTTAGATCAAAATAATTCAGGATATGGCGCGCAGTCGAAACCAGTAGAAGTTCTGTGTTAATACTTGTTTAGATGCAGATGCCTAATGCCATACTATCGAAAGGAAAAAAAAGAAAATATGACGTGCGCAAAATAACAAACAAATGTTCCGTTTTTCATTGCGGTACAATATCTGAAGTGTGTTGCTTACCTTCAATTAATGTGATATGATGATTTAGTGAGTAACATTGTCTTCAGTTGATTTCCATAGTTTTGTATGGCAATCCGTTTTTTGCCTTAGACAGTTACTAACACACACATTTGTGGTTAGTTGTCATCCAGCCGGTTAGTTAGGCCCACAGTTAGGTAGGTGGTCATGAGACCAAATACATGTATAACCAAAAGTGACTTTTAATAACGCGGGATCAGTAACCGTTTGTCGGAGTTATTCATACTGCAGATACAATGTTTCCTAGTCTGGTTGGAAGCCCTCAAGACGGCAAAATACTGGCCGGGACATGTCGATTTTGGCAAGTTAGTTGCATCGTTTACCGAGGGACAGATGCTTGCTCCTAAGGGCCACTAGGAAACGCAATAGGTTGGTGAGATGCAATAAGAAAAAGTGGCTGGAATACTATCTTATCAGACAGGCGGTGAAGAAGTTGAAATTTAACAGCAGAAGGTCTATTTCGTTATATAAACATCTTAACGCATCCCCAGTTAAGCGGTTAGTCAGCTGACTAAGCAAGTAATAAAGTCAATGCCTACTAAATCGGAACACCCGTTCTCTAAGCAGTTAAACGATAACCAGCACAATTGTGTTAAGAGCATGTACCTAAAGGATGTGCAACAGATGGATAGAAGAGGATGGATAGAAAGTTAAACTAACTCACTTCTAACTCTGCCACTTCAAGCATTGTTCGCGTTGACTGCTTGTAAGACTTGTGGAACCACCAGTCGAGCAAACAAGTTGAGTTATTCGGCCTGTAAACGTACTGTTTTGGAGTTCTGACATACCGACCAAACCGCGCGAGTAAAGCTTCAGCCGAAAAGAGGAGAGAGATCTAGGGTGGTGTCAGTAGGTAGTTCATCATTCAAATGCAGTTCGGTTAGGGCTTCTATCACAGTGAGCACAGTGTCATAGTACTGTATGATATTGCCGTCAACTCTAGTTAATCAGGTCGCTGAACCCTTGTACTGCTGTTTTGTGTCCCAGACTATTCTCGTCATTCAGCCAGACATAAACTTCTGACTTTTCTGCTTTTGTGAATGCGGATTATGCCATAGAATCGGCTGTAGTGCTGGATCAAATAGGGAATTCCTGGTAGCTTCTCCTCCGCACTAGAAGATGATCTGGCTGCTGGATGAGCGAAGTGGCACAGGAGACGCGTTATCAAGTGCTAAGGATAGTTTTACATGTTGAACCACCTGACTGTTGTAATCAGGCGAAGCAAAGAATAAGTCGCAGTGCTGGGGGCTCTTTTTCGCTTACTGGCACACGAAACGGGACGCTCGTTAGGCGGAAGCTTGTTTCGTCCATGGATCCTGTCCTGTTCTGTTCTTTTTATTGCTCGGATCAGCACATACCATGCTCTTTAATTTGGAAGCAAGTTAAATACATACTACTGAATTAGCTGTTAAGTCATGATCATTGCAAGTACCAATCAATCGTCACTGACGACGGTGGTACATGAATCGATACACCAGGGCGACCACAAAGCCATAACCTATTTCTGCTCGGAACAAAAGCTTGGAATGTACGATCGAATATTTATCGCATCAGCTGTTTCCGGCTACAGCATGCTTAAAAATGCAAACTGGGGTGTGCGAATGCGAAACCACTGTTGAACGGCCCAGTCTCCATATAATGATGCATGACGGATCAAACGCCTTCCATTCTTCCACCGTGATGCGTTCAGCATGGGTAATGATCTCTGAGCTGATGGAGCCATGAAAAATTCACCAATAATGAGTACCACTAGGACGAGGCGGCTGTCACATGGTTTTCCGGATTGGTGGTAAGCTTGTCTGGTTTGTGAGCTGACGCGATGCTTTCAATAAAATTTCAGCATAAGTCCCCCTACTCGCTGGTGATTTTTGATTTTTCTGATCAGATGTCAAGGTAAGGTAAACCTATGATAGGCGTAATGAACTCGATGTACGCATGCAGCAATGACTCTGTGTCGACGTGGCTTTACTATGAAACGTATATATGATTAAAATTGCAACAAACGAACAAACTAGCTACCTGATAAGCAGGGTTGCTAGAGTCTGAAATACACTCAGTAAGATATTTTAAGAATAGGACCAAAATGGAACGAATTTAAAAGATGGTTTACGGTAATATCACGCAAACGAACTTAAGCCCCATTACTTCCGTTGCGAGATAGTCATGTACGCTCACCAAAGCTAACAGCTTTTACATCAAAGGCGGTAAATAAACTAGAAACAAAATGAGTGACTAAATACATATATGAATGCGCGAATACGTGTTCGTTCGAGTATTTTACTAGTGCTACTACCAGGGTAGGTGACTTTGCTCACTGCACCTCGAGCATTTAGCGCATGTTTGAAGGAACGTCCCTGAGATTGCCGTTTAGAAAGCATCTAGCCGAAACAGTGTGTGTGATGACGGTGTGAGTACGCAATTGCATGGGACAAGAACAAGACATGAAAAACACATTTCATTTGTCTGGGAGTCATGGTTTGGAGTGGCCGCTACCCTTGATAAGCATAAAAATTTATTCCGTCTGATACGGGAAACGAGCAACATGAGACCTGGTGTTAGTGGAACTATTTCTGGCGAGAATGGACAGCTTATCCGCAACTTGTCAAAGCACTTGTAATGTTACGCTGAGCATTTTGAAAAGCACTTTAGTTGCTGGAAGTGTTAGCTTCCTCACTGGCCAGTGAGTGCACTACTCTGCCGACTGCCCCTTTGACCGCCCTTTCGCTCAGAAATCGAACATGAGATCGACCTCTTGACGTTGAATAAAGCCACAGAAGCAAATGCTCTTTCTCCAACCCTCTTCAGATTCGGGGGATCTGAGAAATTTGATGATTTACACGATTTACTAGTGAAACTGAGGGTGCAGGAACTTTCCCAAAAGAGTAGAACTGTCCCGTTATTGTCCCGATCTTCAAAGGGAGCTGACATTCGGAATGCGGCAACCACGGAGGGATCTGTCTAATCCCCATCGCCTTCAAATTAATTGCCACTATAATCCTTCACATACTGACCCTCCGTCGTGAAAGACAGACTCATGAGTGGGGTTTCGTCTAGGACGCGACTGCATCTTTCACATACTCACTTTGCGACGGTTGTTGGTGTACCGTCATATAAATTGGCGGCCCATAGTTGTTGTGTTCCTCAACATCAAAGGTGCGTTCGATTCAATGGATCGATGTGCTCTTTGGGAATGTCTACTAAGGACAGGCATACCTGAGAGGTATGTAAATGTTATGCAAACGCTTTACGCGCGTAGCTCTGGCAGTGAGGACTTACGGCAAACCGTCGTTGACCTTCGATAGCTCTAGCGGTGTGAGACAACGAAGCCCGCTGTCACCTTTCCTCTTCAAATTCGTTATTGAAGCTGCCATGGCCATCACGTTCACAGAATACCACTTGTAATGTGTGCAGCTGCTCCTGGGTGAACGACTTCTTGACTTGGAGTACGTTGACGCTATTGCCCTTATATGTGATGGCTTCCAAACGGGCCAAGTGGCTCTGGATAGATTAGCACTGGCTGTCAGCCGTTTCGTGCTATACTTTGCACTCTTGAAGTGCAAAGCTTTCCTACAAGTTTGACTGGAATCTTTCCTCGCACTGACCCTTGATGTAGATCGGCTAGAAGTCATTCAAAAGTTCAACTCTCTAGGCAATTGTGTATGCGCCCGTAGAATTAAAAATGAGATCACGAACCGTATAGCAAGAGCACGAGGTGCTTTTGCTAGCCTTCGCCACTTATGACGCCGGCGTGACATCACTCACTTCCTGAAGGGTAGTGTGTACAATGTAGCCGTAGGTTCAACCCTACTGTACGGTTGTGAAACCTGGCCTATCAGATCAGCCAACATAAAGAGGCTAGTTACGTCTGACCACCGGTGTTGTGGCAGATTGGCTCATATCTGGTGGGAACATCGTGTGAACAATGAGTATGTTCAACCCCTTGTGTATGGCGCAGGACGAAGAAGTGAACCGCTCAGCACCGTTATTTCACGCACTAGGTGGCTGGGACACGTGTTGCGTATTCCAGCCAACCGACTCCCGCGACGTGCGTTATTTGCGCGCCGAAGTGTAGATGGAAGAGAACGGATAACCAAGCGATGACTTGGTCAGGATAAATGAAGGCACTTAGTTCAAGCTTGGCTTGGGTTGTAGTCTCTAGGCTCTCTGGTTGGGGACCGAAGGACGATGACTAGGTTTAGTTGGATACACTTGCTGGCATGGCTAGTAGCCGACCTCAATGGCGTTTGTGCTGTGAGTTTCTTGGTCCCTCCCCCTCCAACCACGAGCTCATCACTGTTTGCGGCGAAACAGCCAGAACGATGACCATCCGTTACTGGTGACTAAGCCTGCGGGCCCCTGTTGCATGTTACTTGGCTTGTCTTTTGTATTGCGGCACAATAGCTGAGGTATTTTCCACCTGTAGCTAACGTATATGATGATGATGATGAAGAAGATGATGATCGTTTGGACGTCTAACAGCGTTGCAGTTTAAGCTTCTTCGTAACGAACACCGGTATGCACCAATGCCATTGCGATTGGGTAATTTAACTGCACTGAGAGTCATTTGATCACCATCCTTTTGTTACTGGTTTCATTTTTGCTGCTGCATCAGCCCACCGATGGCTTTCTTCAATTTAGCTTTGGATGATGCAATTTCCAGTGGAATTTTCCAGTTATGTGCAAACGTTATTTTTTAGTCTGATCGCATTTCTTCAATTGACTTGCGTATCTTGCTCCGATTTTTCTATGTATAGAATATTTTATGGTGCCTTTTAAACACATTCGCAGTGGATATGGTAAAATTAGGAAAATGCACATATCCGGGTGCAAAAATCTAATTTGACTTCACTTGACTCTAGTTCACCCCATATCTTTTACGGGACTAGTGCAAAGTGTCAATTGTTAGGACTAGCCAAACAGAACGTGAGATTCTAGTTTGGTTTTGCGACAATCAGTGCTTTGTGTTATAGTGTAATAGCTTAGCTGGGCACACCGCGTGCGGATGAGGGCACAGTTTAGAAACTAAGCTTACTTCCATTTTCTGACGAATGAATGTGGCCTTCCGTTGCACACCTTTGATGTCATCTACAGCGAGACCAACAAGCAGGTTCATCATTACAATCGACATGAGCGCGATGAATCCGACGAACAGGGCGTACGTGATGCCTTCGTAATACAATCGTTTGTCTAGCTCTGAGTTGTTCACACGCTCGAATATTAGCTGAGAGAAGAATGCATATAATTGTCCGATTAGTCAGTAGGTAATCTGAACCATTTGCTTGGTTGTACTTAAATCAGTACCTAAACATAAAGTACACGTACGGCTGAAACGAAATGGACAACCACAGCTGTACACGGATATTACTAGAATATAGGTAATATTTCTGCTCAAGTGTTTTTCAGGGAGATACAAGCACCGGTTACTGTCCCTTTATTTACGCTATGCAGTGGTTATTTAACTAATCACATGCGTGTTTACTTCCCTGATTAGAAGAGAGGTAAACTTTGGGAAAGATTTGTCCTATATACTACCGAGACGTTGTTCTTCTCCAATGTATCATCATCATCATTATACACGTAAGCTAGAGGTGGGGAAACACCTCCGCTATTGTACCGCAATACATAAAGGAAATACATACATAAATACAATACATAAAGGAAACAATAAATACGACGGTTGCATGCCAGCTGAGCTACCAGCAACGGATAGTCATCTTTCCGGTAAGCTACCGGCCAGCTAATAGGCAAAAAATGAAAAAAATATTATGTTTTACACTAAGAAATGAGATCGTAGGTGGAGGGGGAGGCTAAAAGGGATGGGGAGGGACAATGAAACTCACAGCACGAACGTCAATGTATAACGGTGAAACTTCAATTCCGTTTTAAGTCAGGTTAAAATAAGACTACGTGCCCAACTGTGTTCATGCAAAGCATTCACACCACCGCTGCGGATGTACTGGAAGATAATATCTGTGAAAAATACAAATCCCCACAGTGGTCACTTCAACAACCGTCTTCGCAGCATACTTATTAGTTTTCTTGTCTTAACATGTGGCGGCACGCAAGGTAACGCGGCTATACGGTGCGATGAGTGCCATGAGATAAACCTTTAAACTTTGGATTTTCAATCTTGAAGATAAGACAGCGCTTTAGTATGAACAATGTGCAGTGGATGAAATCTGTTGTTTAGCCACCTGGAAGAAGAATTAACGCATTAATTAGGATGCCAGAAAATTAAGTCGACTGCAGAATCTGTAGGTCAACTACTGCGTCGAGAGACCTGCTTGGTCGATCGGATCTGTAAGGTTCAACTCTCCTGAAGCACTCCAGGGTAGATGACATGATAGCCTCATGACCAATGGGGGTAAGAGTATAAAGTCATGAAATTAACTATTAAACTACCTACTCCTGAAAGACGCTTTCTTCTTAGAATATACGAGAGGTATTCTGACATCGTGAAAAGTTGCACAAATGTGCGTAAAATAAGGGGTTTAGAGACAAGGTACTGGTCATGAGAAACAAATGAAACTAAGTATGAAGTTATAGGGCCAGATAAAATGCCGCTTGAGCAGATATATACATCTGTTAAGAAAAAATAGAATACCGCAGTCAGCTTTTAGCAAACGGCCTTACGAACTGCATGCGATGAGGATATCCACGAGAAGATTCGCAGCGCAGCTGAACCAGATCACTCAGCGACTGCGGTTGACTGCCCACCAACCCAATCAATCTTCGGTAGCAATACCAAGTCTATCTAGACATCTAATTCTATCTCAAATCTTACTACCCCGACAGCATTAGTGCTAATTCCGACATTGTCTACAGATCTACATCAGTAACACTCAAATTCACAGGCTTGAATATTCATGAAAGGAGCCAGCTTGGACCACGAAGTCAGCATCAGCACCATACAGGCTTTAACCTGATAGATGAAGAATCGCATAGTTTTGGTACCTCCAATGAGACGCGCTGCAGTTTTTCGAACACCAACAATGCCACTCCGACTCACTCGACCAACTTAAGGAAGTTGACAACTTACAACTCATTCATAGCGCTTACCACACCTAATACTGTTCTAGTAGAAGAAGTATTAAAACGTTTTACTGAACAATGCAATTTGAATGAGAGGTTATTGTCCGCCATTAAGCTAACACAAGGACGAGTCAATTATCTTCGCCCTACATGGCTCATTTTTTCCCGATCCGACTGCGCTGAATGCCTTGCTTACTCAGTGCAGTCGACTCCGCCGATTGACACTGTATAAGGGTTTAACCTTTAGACATTCATCCATTTCTAGCTCAAAAGGCCAGCCAACAAATAAATCCCTCACAACACCACCCATCACAAGCTTGAGAGCGAAGGCCAGGAATAGTATCCCAAACGACGTTCAAAGATCTGACACTCATTCCTACCAGGCTCTATTTTTAGATGTATTATAGGCCAAACGTGGCCGTTAACCCCAATGAATCAGCAGGCCTTGCAGTTCGTCCAACAGACCACCAACTTGGCCCAAACGTCTGAATTCATCAACATGTATTCGGACTGTGGTTACGCGAGTTCCACCAACACATAGTTTAGTGCCCTTTGTCCAACATGCACAAAAAGCCGATATAACTACCGACAAAACATGCATATGTTTGATTATTTCTCTTAATTGCTCAGTCTCTCAATCACAAAATGCGTATTGCACTTTCTCTACTGTTACTCTCCTGTCCCGATATTCTAATTATCACGGAGATCTGGCGGAGCGAACAGAATTCTGATACATAATTGTACATCCTACACTTCCAAAGCTCCAGCCGTAATCGTATATCTCTTACCGCGTTGGCGCTTTCCGCATTAAACTAAGCAAAAACACCACGCCACAACTGTGCGCGTGACCCATCACTAAATTGCCTTGAGGAATCTATTTGCATTAACATTCAAAGAAGTTGCAGGACCATCCTTATTAGTTGTGTGTGATTCTCTATCGATCATTCTCAGTAGCGAGCAAGTGAAAAAATATAGATGGAGAGTTCAACAGGTTCAATCTATCCTGGTATCCGTCATGCTCCCCTACCACCAGTTTATATGAACAAACCTTATATGTGACTGGATTCAAGAAATTGCATTTCCAAACAGAGGTGTACACTTGCTAGTCCTAGTCTATACAAAAGAACTAAAGCTTACAAATAAATGAACTCATTCTTTCTTGGGGGGAACACAAGATAGGCGATATCAGCTTAGAAAAAATCGCCTGCAAATGAGGTGCATTCAATGAGATTGTAAGCTTTCACGATTATCACAATTGTAACTAGAAAGAATTTGTAATCGAATTGCAATCTCTTGACTGAGATAACTATTTCCTTTTCCATCCCTTGAGACACCAATGATTTGGGTGGATTGAATTCAGGGTGGTTAACGGCCGGCTAAAATATTCGCTGCTGCTGAATACCAGGATGTCTTCCATATACCGTTTATACAGTTTCGCTTCACCAATAACGGCAACAACTGGCCTTTCGATTAAACCGCGAAATATATCTACCAAAAACGCTCCTAGAAGACTGCCCATGGCGACACCGAGAAAAAACAAGAACAATGGATAATGATTTTATACGGGTTAAGAAGCATTGATTTACAAGCCCCGTTGGTTGGTCTGATGGGTTGGCGAAAACCGTTAATGAAAAAACGGTTAGTAATTTTACTGCCAAAATAATGGATTTCTTGTTTTTGATGCAATAGTCATGTACTCCGACTGTTTCTATAGCTTAAGTGGGCAATAAAAGTTAAATTTAAGATATTTCCAGGGATTAGGATAGAGGGTACCGTCAAGTAACAAAATATAACTGGCTGAGTGCGTCATCCAACTGACTCTTAACTATGGCTAGCGTAGGTGATGAAACCACAGATTCGGGGAGAGCGTTCCATGGTTGAAACACACTAATGAAAAAGGTGTTTCTATGGCACACCAGACGACTGCATTCTATTACCAATTTAAAGGTGTGGCATCTAAGTTTGATGTTACTGCTGAGTTGCAATAAAGGGCGGCACACACGATTTGGTTTGTGTAAAATCAAATGCACCAGAATCAAGCAGCCTCCTAGTCGGCAATACCGCCCTCTGAATACTCCCAAACGTTTCAGGCTTTGCTGGTACGGATGGTGGTGCATTCCAATGAGGTATGTAGAGGTCAGACGTTGATGTTGGTCCAGTCCAGTAAGATCATGCTCCGGCCATGACCGGCACGCTTGAATTGAGTATTTGACATGGGGCGAACATACACATTCAGCATCTGCCTGAAAATAATAGTGTCTAATTGTCCGAAGACCCGTCGTAACAAGCCGACTTGCCGGTTATCAGTTTTCGAGACCTTTGCGGATTGCTTGGAACAACCCAACTTATCATGAACTAGCACGCTAAGGTTGCATTTGACGGATGACAGCTGTAGTACTGCTTTCCTAGCTTGTAGGAATAGGTACTCTGATGTCGTATGGAGAGTACTCTGCATTTGTCTACGTTAAACTGAAACAGATTTCGGTTTGCCCAATAATGTACTGCATCTAGCTCACACTGAAATAAATTCTGATCGGTATCCGCCTGAATCCGGCGCCATGTCTTGTTAGCGTCAGCAACCAGCAGGAAATTTGCAGCGTTTGTCTGTGCAAGATCATGAATGGGTACCAAAATCAACCATGGAGCTAGAATTGAGCCCTGCGGCACACCAGACTCGACTGGTATGGCTTTAGATAAGTAATTCTGGAATCTTAACCTTAATTGTCGTTGTAGAAGAAACTTTGCAATCCAGCTCAATATAGGTTCACCGACCCCGTAATGTTAGAGCTTAGAAAGCGGAATCCGATGATCTAAACGATAGAACGCCTTCAACAAATCCAGGTAGATCAGAGCAATGACCTCTCCAGCTTCAACTGACTTGGTCTAACTACTTCTTGCGATTAATAGATTCATTGTGCACGACCGCTGTCGACAAAAGCCGTGTTGCTCTGGAGTAATAATGCTAAATAATTGCTAAATAACTTGCTAAATAAAAAATTGCTGATTAATTGTTAAATAACACATCAACACATCGGCAATCGTAGATTTCATGACCTTAAATAATATACTGGGCGGTAGTTTGAAGGCCCAGTCCTGCTTTCCTCTTTGTGAATCGGATTTACTAGTTCAAGTTTCCACATCCCAGTAATCTGGTTCCGTTCTAAGTAGCGCTTTAAGAAATGTGCCAAA